TGTCCATAAATGCTAATCTTTGGACTCAATAACCTGCGCGAAATTTTGAACCCAACACTTTATTCAATTATTGCGAAGAGATTGTTTTCATTCCGTTTTCTATGCTAAGGGGAGGTAACTCGGGGTTGAACCCACAAATGCTTTTGCCGAATATATATTTCACACTGTTTATGTATATTCAAGCGTTATGGAATTAAGGATTCTTTATTGCTTAGAAAATAAAGGATTTTTATTGCTTAGTTGAAAATTGCCATTTCAATTGAAAGAGACCTTTTTTTTTTAAAACGATGATTTAATCTACTAGGCTGTGTGTCTGTTTAAAGGAAGATGATTCCCTTCACTTTTATCCAGATAACAGAAATGATTCCGCGCAGATTGTTCATATGAAGTACTCCTTAGAACAACAGATCGGGTATTGAATACAATGTCCCAGTGAAGATTCAGCTCTGCGTTCAGATTTGGCAAGCTTAGAAAAGAATAGAACTACGCGCTGGTACATAAGAAAAGAACCGCATCAGAGATAATTTAGCTTTTCCATAAGACATCATAGTAGATTGAAGTGTTACCGTTTCAGACTGGGGTTGGGTCGATGGGAATGTTCACAGCACCAACTGGAGGAGAGTAACTAACGAACTACAGGAATTGAGTAAAATGTCATGTGATGTACGAAAGATTAAAGCCTTTGGTTATCATTTTGTTGGCACACTCATTTCATTGTATGAATACTAAAGGCAATATAACAAATTATAACATATAGGGATATTTTCAGTGCGCCCACGTCACTACCGAATGTTACACAAGGTTAGTTTAAAGTTGGTTTATCGGCAATCCCAAGCCCCCCACCCCCATCGGCGCTTCACTTTTTGAGGATGCCTCAGGCGCTGGAAAATAAACCCAGTTTCCCTAGCAAAGGAAAGGTACTACCTCGGGAAATCCCTTGTGACTTGGACTTAATATTTTTTTAACTTCGCCGAATACGCTTTCGCCTACACAAGGATATACTTTATATGTATGCTTGTCCTAATTTTATGGATGTATCTATCATTGTATCGATCTAGATTGATTAAAGTCTTTCACTGTAATTTTTTATCAAGCCAAGTTTTCTTTTGGCCCTGAATAAAAAAAATTGTTAAGTGTTGTGTCGTGGCACAATAGTAAAAATAAGAAAATCAAGTCGAAGTTGGTTTAAAGAACAAGTGTATTTAACATCACAGATACAAAGGTAGGAAATGGGTACTACTCAGCTAGGCAGTTGTAGTACTGTCGCGGCTTACCCCGGGTAGGTATTACTGGTACTATATATAGTGAGAACCGGTGTAATTCGCTTGTGTTAGAGGCCGGTGCAACATTAAGGTTATTAGTCCTAAAAAGTAAGACTCTCTTAAAATTATGCATCCATATACGTCATCAGGATATCAGCCAATTACAAAATCCCATACGAAAGAATTCCTTTTTTTCTGTTTTCTTTACCTCTTTTTTTTTCTCTCTCCCTTTTTTTTCCGAATATATCATTCATACTGTTTACGTATATTCATGCGTCATGGAATTAAGGATTATTTATTGCTTAGTAGAAAATTGCCATTTCAATTGAAAGAGTTCTTTTTTCAGAGAAAATTTACGTTATCAATATATCAAAAGCAGTTTTATCGATCGCCGTTCGGGAAATGACTGCCGGCACGAATTAGTGTGTATTGATATGAATTTACATGATAAAACGTGACTTTGGTTCATAGGTGTTCACAGATTATTTCCACTATGTTCAGATCTGAATAGCTCAAGTGCTAAGGATGGAAGAAAAAGATAGAAATATTAATGCTCCATTTAAAAAGGCGCGAAAATGTCGTCTGTTAATTCGGAAAATCCACGAGAGGAAAATAACGAGGATTTTAAATGTGAGAAAAGTGAACAGTAATAATGAGAAATACCAATCATTCATCTAGTTCGCTTAATTCTGAAGACTGGAATGTAAAATAACTAACAAAAAAGAGAGGCAAGTAAAAAAGTACTTGTAAGCTCCACGTAACCCAAATGAATACCTGAATATCCCGTTCTCCTTGACAAGATACCGTTCGTAAATGTTCGTACTCGTTGAACTGAACGTACATCCGAGGGGATGCTGAAAGTTTTTCGGCCCGACTTCTTCTTCTATATGCTATTTGCCTTCAGGACTTTAGCGACTATGGCTCTCCACAATTTACTGTCCTTTGTAGCTCTTAAAAAACTTGTTTTTTGCCAGCTCTCCCAAGACTTGATCCCCCATTCATTCATTCAAGCTCTCTATGTACGTTGTGTGTTGATTTCTTCTGGCCCTCTTACCTTCAAACTGCCCCGTGAGTATCAAATTTTCCAAGCCTTCTTTCCTCATTATGCGCTCAAAAAATTTCAACTGTCTCTTCCTGGTGTTTATCATAAGTGTTTGTTGTATAGTAGCTGCCACCCCTTCAGCACTTTACCAGATAGCCTGGCTCATAGCCTTAAATGGTCTACGATTAAGGACTTCAACCTTAGATTAAGGGCTTGATACTAAGCTGATTTATATGCGGACTGATCTTAATTCGTTTGGCTATACAGCATTTGACCCTCTTCTATTCATTGTAAGTTGTCTTGTTAATTGTTTTGTAACTTATTGTTCTGTGTTTTTTGTACGTATCCATTAGCACCTGATGCTGGTGCTGAATAAATATATTAAGCACTCATTCACCTCGACGATACTACAGTGTTCCTTTTGCCATCTTCTCTAGAACTTCATCGTTGCTCACATGTTCGGTCCACGTTATTCTCAGCATTCTTATGTTGAACCACATTTCTCTTGCTTCAAGTCTCTTTTTCATCTGTGAGGAAATTGTCCAGCATTCACTCGCCGCCATATAGGAAGACTGATTCAGTTTTCTTTTCTTTGTTTCTGACGATATTTTTCCTGCTTCTAAAACTTTGCTTGGCTTTTGGAAGGCATCTTTCCGAATGAGCCTTCCGACACAAACACTACGCAAACACTGAAATTTCTTTACGATTCCCTTCTTGCCCGGGAATCATTCAGGACTTGAGCGACCATGGCTCTTCACACCATCATATACTTTATATCTCTTAGTAACGTTTATCTTTGTAGCATCACCGTCACGTTCCGTTCCATCATCCATACTGATGACGTTGTTAGGTAGGTAGCCTACTGCCTCACTCTATTCTCTTTTTTCCTACGATAGGACTTTCCAAGCCTCCCACCCATTTACTCATTATGTGACCCAGAAATTCCACTTTTTGATACGAAAAGTATCCATGTTGTTTCCATTTCCCTTCAAAGTTTTCTATTGTTTTATTGATTACTATTAGATTAACAACAATAACTAATATGAAAATAGAACAATTTTTAACAATATACAGTAATAAAATTTATGTTACCTATAGTAGATTTTTCTTACCGTAGATCTTATTAGATTCACTATTAGATTAACAACAATAAATAATAGGAAAATGGAACAATTTTTAAAAATATACTCTCAAAAAAACACTATAAATATTACAGATAGAAAATCCATTCTTGCCGTAGATCTTAATGACAGCATACGATTTTTCTCTCATTAATTTGAGAAATTTCACATTTCATTTAAAGGAATCGTGGCTTCTTGTCTGTAATAAGCGAATTGCCAGCCTCATGACCTTTTTCGTTTGGGATTATTCTTAAGAATTATGAATTTATTTCTTGATTTAATTATTACAACTCATTAATTTTACTTAATTACAAAAGTGATATTAAAGCAAAGAAATCAAAATCCTAATAACGTGATACGTTACCAAAGTAATTTTATGTTTAAGATATATTGCTTTTTGTCTATAAGTAAACTATCACGACTTATTTGAGGACATATGATACGAAAATGTTCCTGTGTTTATGGCAGACTTCGGAAGGATACGTGAAATAAGTATTAGATGAGATACGAAAGGAAAGCGAGAAGCAAGTATTAACCCATTAAGTGCAAGAACAGAGAAATCATGGTTGTCAGCAAAAGAGACACAGCCCGAGGTGTTAACTACATATTGGAGACGTCGAAATCAACCAGGTTCAGAAAATTAAATCTCCAGCTTTTGTAGTAAGAGATGACGGAAAATGTGACACTGAAATCTGAAGGCACGTGAAAATAGCGAAAGATGACTTTCAGAAACTAAACAAAGTATTAAGGGACAGGAAAATATGATACGAAAGAAAGAAGAGACAGCTGGTTTTCTAAATATTATTTAATAATCAATATGGCAGAACATGTTTGAAATTTTCCTCAAAGATTCTCGAAGTGACAAAGAAGCTTATATTTATAGGGAAATTGCTGAAAGAAGGTTTAGAGAATTTAACACTCACAAGTCATAATAAAAATAAGAGAAGCTGGGGAAGTGTCTTCTGGATGCAGGGAGTCGTGGCTCTCCACAACTTGCAATCCTTTGTAACTCTAAGCAATCCCTGTAAGTAACTTTTTCTGCTATAGATTTACATGAGTTTATTTTAATGGATAGCGGATCGTATTGAGAATTCGGAGAGCCGAGTTCGAATTCCAGTCGAATCCATCACGTTCACTTACATGCTAATACCATTGAGAAAGGTATGAATCTTCTTCTCTTCCCAGTAAATGGGTAAATAGGAAGATAGCCCGGGTTGTATAGCCTTAAATGGCAGCTGGTCTACCGCAGAAAGAAATAGCAACCAACTGCGGGAAAAAATCTGTCTCGTCAGTCATGTATCGAAAGATACATGATCGCCTAAGCATTTATCACGCATGGCACATAACTGACTGAGGTAGGTTACTTGTTTTACTCTGCCCCACTTACCTTCAGTATGCCTTGTGAGTTAAAAGTTTTCCGAGCTGTCTTTCCTCATTATGTGTCCCAGAAAGAAGAAGTACATTTTTGTTCCTAGTTTTCTTAAAATGTTCTCATTACTCACATGTTCCATCTATGGTATTCTCAGCATCCTTCTTGAGAACCGCATTGCTTTAAGAACGCTTACGGCCGCCTCACATTGAAACACCAATTCTTGTACGATCACCGAAGTTAAACAATGTCGAACTTGGTCAGTAACGAGATGGGTAACCACATGGGAATAGCAGGTGCTGTAAGCTTGGATGTGCGGGTGGTGTAATGGACGGATTTGTTAAGCGGCGAGCAAAATTCCAATTAACGTTGGGTTTTTTTATATTCACTTACGCACACCAATACCCTTGGGAAAAGGGTATTAATCCACATCTTCTCCCTCCAGCTGTGGGTTAATTATTAAGACTTGTATCACTAATCCATTATTGTCTAAAAAACAATTATTTCAATCTAAAAAAATATGTTGATAAGCTGTAGAAAACAAATCATTGAATATGTTCGTCCACGTCACCTCTTCATCTGAGAGGAAATTGTCCAGCATTCACTGCCAAACAGGAGGACTGTTATTACATAGCAGTTCAGCACTCTTTTCTTTGTTTCTCTTGCTTCAATTAACCTCTTCATCTATGAGGAAATTGTCCAGCATTCACTGCCATATGACAGAATTAATATTACATAATTCAGCACTCTTTCTTTATTTGTATTTACGGAAAATATCTTGTTTCTTAATACCTTGTGTCATTTTTTTAGGAAGGCTTCTTTCGTTACTCCAACGTAACTTCGAATTTTCCCGCTACATTTTCCGCCATCTTTTATAACCCTTTGCAGACATGTAGAATTTTGTACTTACCTCTGACGTCACAAATTCAGAGCTAGCTTTTTGCGTTGTCCGTCTTCATTTTCTACATTCTCTACGTGTTCCTCTAGTTTTCATTCTATGTTTGCTATCAACACGGATACAAGGGAAATGGGGATCGTAAAGGAACCAAAATTGCATACAGGAAATAGGGGAGAGTCATAATCACCCACGTCTTGAAAGAACATAGCATACAAAAGGAGAAGAATTATTTCCCTATTTCCCGGGAAATTCTATGTACTGTAAACTTGGATGTGAGGATGGTGTAATATATAACGAAATTGAAAGTCGGAGGGTTGAGTTCCAATTCCAGTCGGATACGTTATATTCACTTACGTACAAATGTCCCGGGGAAAGGCATGAATCCATCTCTTCTCCCCCCCCCAAGTTACGGGTTAATTAGTAGGAATTGTATCAGTAAATCATTTTTATTTCCCTATAATTCTCACAATCTAAAAATATTTTCTGCCTTTTTATAACGTGCAAAAAGGTTGATAATCCGTGAAAAGCAAATCAATCAACTGTAAATTTCTACAGATGATATTGACATAACATTTTTAACAGTTTTTTTATTTTATTTTATTTATTGAAGTTGAAATTCATGAAAATTACTATAGATTTCAAAGGCTCTGTTTAAACACTGTGGCTCTCGTGGCGAAATGGTCATTGGAAGCTCCTGTGGCAACAAGTTTTGTTTAATTTGCCTTGTTTTAAGGAATATCAACCTCAATGGGTTATTTAATGCCGCCAAAATTTTTATTACTCATAATGTTTTTCTTCAAAAATCTATTTCTGGGAATATTCTTCCTTGAAGAAATCTATAGCTGGTCATATTTTTTTCTAATGAATATATAGCTGGTATTTTTTTAAAGTATTGCCGATAATAATTTTTCCTTCAAAAATTATTGCTGGAAATATTTTTTTTATTACAAAGTATTTCTGGTATTAAAACCTATTTTTACACAAGTTTGGGTGTTAACTATTTGACCATAGCTGGCCCCCTAACAGATGCTACCACCCTGGATCAGGGTGGGCCTGGGAACATCAGCAATTAAGAGGTGGTTCCACGCTCCTCAAAACCTCCTGATCAGAGGCCTTGCTGCTGGATATAGTTTATCGTCTTACCCAGGCCGCGGATGTAGTTTATCGTCATACTCAGGACAGTGTGGCAACTAGATGTGACTTCGCAGTTTCATGCACGCTATCAATGAATCGAAGAGTCACGACTTTTGGTAAGTCTGGAATCTTCTAAATTTTGAAAACACTAAAAATGACGTCTTCATTACAGGATTATGAAAGTAAATCGAGTTTCATACAACAAATAAGTGAACAACATCGCAAAAGTAATTATCTCTATTTGAAAATTTCTTGAGACATAAAATTTGCCTTCTGGGCTTTTATTTTTAGTTCAATGACTAGCAATAAGCACTTAAGCGCCAGATAATCTAATATCTGAACATTATTAAGTTTAGTGTGTTGGTCAGCTTTTAGAAACAAGTGGTATAAGAGAGTCAATGTTGATAGCAGACAGAAAAAGGAAACTACAGGAACTCCTACAGAAACTGGGGAGAAAGAAAGAAGAAAGGTGTAGGTATCAAGTGCAAGAAGATATAGTGTATGCTTGTCAGCAACAGGAACAGATCAACATGTAAATTACATATTGGGGACACCAAAATCAAGTGTAAAAGTGTAAAAAGGTAATAATAGAAAGATTGGCTCCTGGGAGTTAAAGAGAATAAAATTACTTTAGAAGGAAACGGAAGCCAAATCCTAAACAAGAAACAAGTGATAAATCTCTATCCCTGCTCAAAAAAACTAGGAAGCGAGATAACTGGACGATAGACGAACCTGTCTACTTCTATTGTAAATAGAAGTGCTTTAGAATTGGTATACACCTTCATTTTTTTGCTGTTTCCTTTTGTATAGTCAGTCATGTGCGATACACGCTTAAGCGATCATGTATCTTTCGATACATGACTGGCGAGGCAGATTTTTTTCCCGCAGTAGGTTGCCATTTCTTTCTGAGGTAGACCAGTTGGCATTCAAGGCTGTCCCGCAATTTATCCATAGCTGGGGGAGAAGAAGAGGAGTCATACCCTTGGTATTTTCTCTATTGTTTTTCTTTGTCCATCAAGGAAACATTGTATTGTGCTGCACTAATTGTTCATGTGAGGGACTGCATGATGTGGAAAAAGGCAAATGAATTTGGAGTTTTTTGTCTTTTTTTTATCTGGGCTTTGACCAGTGGGAAATTTAGGTTGTGATGTCAGATGACAATTTGTCGTTCACTTTTATTTATTAGCAAATATTCTACACACTTTCTATTTTCTTTTTTACTGAGTAATATATCAGCACAGTGAGAAATACTGCTGGGCACCTCGAAACGTTGTAATGGTCTGTAAGCTCGACTCGCTAGATCAATTACGACTGATTAGTGAGTTCAATCCTCACTGAGTGCCCCATACTTTCGGCCTTGTGCCACATCTAAGCTACGCTTAGAAAATCATTTAGGACACCTCGAGGTGGTGTAATGGTTAGCAAGCTTGGCTCGCTAGAACAATTACGACTGAATAGTGATTTCGATCCTCACTGGGTGCCCCCTACTTTCGGCCTTGTGTCACATCTAACCTATTCTTGGAAAAACACTTGGTCACTTCAACGTGGTGTAATGGTTAGAAGGCCTGTCTTTCTAGATCAATTACGACTGAAAATTGAGTTCAATCGTCTCTGGGTGCTTCACACTTTCGGCCTTGTGCCACACCTAAGGTACGCTTGGAAAATCTTTTAGGACACCTCGACGTGGTGTAATGGTTAGCAAGCTTGTCTTGCTAGAACCATTACAACTGAATAGTGAGTTCAATTGTCACTGGGGGCCCCCATTGCTTTCGGCCTTGTGCCACATCTAAGCTGCGCTTAAAAAATCATAGCCACAATTGCTGTATTTTCGTGCAATAAATCTCGTGAGAAGTACTGCTTTTATCATCTATCTTACACTTGTTTCGCATGTTGGAAAGGGATCCGAATTGTTTTCGGTTTTCGCTGAAAATAAAGCGAATATTAATGTTTCTTATAGTTGCTTTTATTTTGGTTGTCTGGTGTGTTTTTTAAGTAATACCCAAGACCGACTATCCAGTTCCCCCGGAAGCCTCTGTATCCGATTTCAATCGGTTTGCACTGAGCTCGCCAATCCCATCGTTTGCAACCCTCTACTATATGTAAAATTTTCCCAAGTTTCCTTTCGCGGGCTTCGTCCACATTTTCTTCCCAAGTGACTGTTAATTCTAACATGATGACTTGCATGGTCTTTGCCGAATAAATAATCATGTCTGGACGAAACTTAGTCAGTATTATTTTCTCTGGGAATTTTAGGCAGAATTGAGGATTGACGTTTTCTTCTTCTCTAATGTTTTTACCTGCTGTGACGAAAATCATCAGCTTCTTATCGGTTTGTTTGAAGATTCCTCTAGACTATTGTTGCAATGGCTCTTAAAACATTGTCATGGCGCCACTGGTAATGCCGCACACTCAATGCCCCGTGGCAATCGCCCAATACACGTTCAATGTTCTCTTTTGACACAACGTAAAAAGTGGAGACTCACACTTTCCCCACGTGTGGAGGTTTTCTGGGCTGGGTAATGTATCATATACACTACCTGCACAAGGAAATTTGTGTTACTGGGATTAGCGTACTAGAGATCTGTCAAGGAAATTTTCCTGTTTCCGGAATTAGCCCAGGCCTTTTGCTGAACTAACGCCACCAATTTTCTGGCTCTAATTTCCTCCACACATGCTCTCACTTCATATTAAAGACAGTGTTTCCGCTCTTTCCTTTTTTCTTTTTCTTTTTTTTTTTTTGTCTTCTTCGGGGATTGGGACCGTAACCTAGGCCTGATCTGCCCACTTACACTGTTCCTACTAGTGCCTTCTGGCTCAACCTTTGCTCTGCTGTACTGAGCTCATGGGATGCTTCCCACTTTCTCCTAGTTCGAACCTTCCGGCTCCGTGATTTGCTGTCAGCTATAATCTTCAAAAATACAAATGCGACGCCAATTGCCATCTGTCTTTTTGAATGCTCTTCTTTTATTTTCGTTTCTCTTCACTAACGTTTTCTCATTTTCTTTCAAGCTCAGGAATCCCTTGCATCTTAATGGCTTTATCGCCTTCCTTGAGGTGAAATGATAAAAAATAATACATAGATGATATTCGGTATCAGCCAAAATGAGGAACACCAATATCTGACCAAAGAATTCTTAGTCAAAACGTTGTGTCGATATCATCTATTTCTTATGACTGTAATTTTATTTTAGTGCAAACTTGGATATGACGATAAACTACATCTGGCAGCAAGGCCTCTGATCAGAAAATTCGCCACTTTGAGGGGCGTGGAACC